CTTGCTAGACAAGGTGGGCCTTTGGGAGAAGGGAGGGGATGGGTTGGTTATTGTTAGATCGGTTCAGATGGATCGGCCTCAACGGCAAACATTTCGCCCTGCTAGCAGAAGTGACGATATTAAGATTCTTGCCTTTCGCTGATTTCCGCCTTTCAAAACTCGTACAGGTCCAACTATTAGACAGATAGTATATCTTTAATTCAGGAGAGCTTATATGATTTTTTTTATTTATTGGTATGCCTTTAAGTAGAGCGATGTTTTCTGGTTAGATTATCAGAAAGTTTGCTAATATTAGTTCTGGTCTTATCTTGGGATGTTTGGGCTCTAAGCCGGCGACAGAGATTGGGAGCGTCGGATCCATCCTCTCCAAATGAGGGTCCATTGTATCTTGCTATTTTCTTCCATCTATCATCAAAAAAGGTTTTCTTGGGTTTTTTTTTGTTAGTTCTCACGGATCCTTGAGAATTTGCATCGCCTTCTTCTCTCTTTTTTACTATTCAATACTTTGCTTTAAGCTTCGAAAACGCAATATCTCAAGAATTTGGCTTGAATAAGTTGAGGATGCACTATTTGTTTTTTTGTTGTTGTTGGTTGTCTTTCTGCTTTCCTCTTATTTTTCACAATTCCGCTGCATAAACTCGAAAGGATTGATACGAGGTCCATGATGTTGCTACAGCAGGGTCGATTCTTAGTGGAGAACAACAAAATTCTTATGGATAAATGGAGCTTGGAGGTTCATGACTAGCATATCACTACTGACAGCTAGCCAGCATTAAAGATTCTAGTTTTATTGAGCCTTCAAATGCAATATTTCACCACCCGGGAAGTGGGATCAATATACCCCAAACAGTGGAGATTGTAAATCTTACGCTGAATGCCTGTCTTTATCTGGGAAGGCATGAGCTTCCGCTTTATTACCCAAGCAGGTGTTGGCAAAGGTGCAGCATTGGAGCTCAAGTTGTTGCTCCCTGAGCCTCTTCAAATCGACCTCCACATCTTTTTTCCTCTATAGCGACCTCCTAATGCTACTAATTTTTATTAAGCCTTCCTCTCTAGTGGCTTCCTATGTTGCACCGATACGGATACGACGACACGGATACGACACGATATGAATACGGGACACGTCAATTCTAAAAAATATAAGATACGGGTACGGCACGGACACGACATTATAATTTAGAAATCATACATAAAAATTACGAAAGCAATCAAAGCATAATATTTGAAATTACAAAAAAAATGAAAGCAAAATTATTTGTAGCATTGCAGCTTATAATATCAAAATAAAAGTAAGCATTAAATGTCTAGTACAACAACAAAAACATTAACATAAATTGTTTAGCACCTGAAGTTTCAACTATTCAATAGAAGGAATGATATGATTAGCTTCTTCTGTGGTTTGCTTTGAACTTCTATATCATCTTCAATAAATATCATAGCTTCTAATTCATGCTCATCAAGTGAAAGATTAGCAATTTCTAATATTCCCATATCATCAAAAGACTCAAATCCATCTAAAAAATGAGAGAACCTCACTCGCAGCCGTGGAAGTAAATACGATGCGTCTTTTTTCAGATTTTTTTTTTGTTTTTCACGGACACGCGTATTGGATACGCGTGTCTTTTTGAAATTAAGTAGTATTTTAATTGGATACGGCTTTGCCGTATTCGACACCTATCAGTGCCGTATCGGAGGCGTATCCGTGTATCGGTGTATCAGATACAACACACTTCATAAATAGGTGTATCGGTGCAACATAGGTGGCTTCTTTAGTGAACTCCTTACACTACGAAGTTTAGTGGCATCTTTTGAACAACATTAATCTAATTGAAAACACAACTTTTCATTCTCGAGTAAAAGGTTTATTCTCGATTTCTCAAACTTTAAATCAATATTCCATCATCTCAGGTTATCTAAAGTAAGTTAATAACACATTTTTGATAATTTTAAGTTTGTATATATGTGACACAACTCCAAAAAATTTATGTGATATGCATGAATCTAGAGATAATTTTTGAATTGAAAATTTTTGGAATTAAATTCAGGATAATTCGAACTTCAATTTCAACAAATTTATAGTCAAACTAAATGTTTCAACAAGATTAACCTATCAATACTACAAATGATTCGATCAAACTCCAAATGAGCTCAAATTATATTTGAAAATTTATAAACATTAATTGATGAACCAAACGGCCTCTAATTATAGCATGATTCTAGTCAAATTCGAGCGGCTTGACAAGATGTATCTAATGAGCTCAAGATCAATCGATTCTGACATCATTAAGACACTCAGATGTTGGCTAAACTATTTATGATCAAGGGGATCAATTTCGGCCCTATGTTGTGCTTTGAATTCTGACCAAATTTGCAATAAATGCTGATATCAAAAAGCTTATAAAGAGGGCTCCATTCTCTACAAAGGGAAAAGAGGTGGAAGAGCTTAAAGAACTAAAGAGTTCTCTTATATTTTCCAACTATCACCACCATGACCATCACCTACAACTATCACCATTGCTAGATTTCGGTCAACATTGAACACTGTTCTTAGGCATTTATTATTTGCCTATGGACGCCAAACAATTTTTTTGTCCAAAACTAACATGTAAAAACATATTCTACTGACCAAAATTTTCTAGCATGTAATAATATGCATCTTTGGTCTTTCCATGTGGATGTAATCATCTCCATTTCAAATTTTCACGTTGTTCTAGGATGGCCGAGTTAATGCCTTGTACTCAACACCTTCATTATACACTGATGCCAAATATGCAGCAAATGAAACTTGGACTCTCAAGACGGATGACTTTTTCCCGTGAGTTTGAAATCCACTGGCTTGTAGAAATTTCTGCAGATCATGTAATTTTTTTTTTTTTATTAGTGGCAAGTAACATTTGGATTCTTCAGATATGCAGATGGTCCAAATGGATACTGGACAGGATACTTCTCCAGTAGACCTTCTTTCAAACGGTATGTCAGAATGATGAGCGGTTACAATCTGGTAGGTCATTTGGTCTCCTTAATATGTCAACTAACTGATATTATGAAACTTGAAGTATAAAAGATTCCTGTCCATAACCAGGCAGCCAAGCAACTAGAATTTCTGAAAGGAAGGGACAACTCAGGGCTCACCACTGACAGTTTGGCTGATGCTTTAGCAATTGCTCAACATCATGATGCAGTTAGTGGAACTGAACAGCAGCATGTGGCAAATGATTATGCTAAACGACTATTTATAGGCTATGCAGAGGTGATGAGCTTAATTCAAGCAAAGGCAATTTTATCTCGGTTCCACTATATTTTACTCTAATAATTTGCAGGCCGCCCTGGCATTTTCATGTTTTTAAAGCAGGCTGAGAAGCTAGTTCAGCTATCACTTGGCTGCTTGACAGAATCATCGTTAAATTCAGATTGTTACAGCCCCAAAACAAACTTTGAACAGGTATGAAATATTAAAAAGTAAGTGTAACAATCTAAGTGGCGTTATTCTTCAGTCCTAAAATTATCATATAAATTTAATAATTGATTTATAAGTTACATACTTTTTTACAAGCTCAAGGGTTAGGTTCTTGGTGCTAACTCTCTACATTTATTTATTTATTTTTATGGCATGGTTCAATGTTTTAAAAGCATTTTTTGCACAAAATGAAGCAGTGTTTCAACTAAGTGATGCGCACCCATTTCATATAATTTATATTTTTTAATATAACAATCTAAGTGGCGTTATTTTTTAATATGCAGCATTTTAATATATATTTTTGTTTGTGTTCAAGCTTGGTTAATTTAAAATGATACATGTTTTGGCTTGGTTTGCGTTCGGTTCATGTTTGGTTCGTTGTGTGCTTACCGAGTTATAAATGAGTGGCTTATCGAACTTCTAACGAGCTTCGGGTGATGTTATTCACGAACATAAACGAGTCGAACATATAGTTATTTAAGTTTGTTCATTAAAGCATCAAGTATTTAAGAAAATATTCAAATTTCTTTGATTACTTAATCAAACAATTACGAACGAGCTTTAATCGAGTCGAGCTTCGAATAGCTTGTTAAATGCTCAATTCTTTTAAAACCCTAGATTAGAGGACTGAAAATAAATAAATAAATAAATAGACGGTGAGTTTTCAAAAAAGCTACAATGGGCATGTCCCATAAACGTGGTAAAAAAGGCATAAGAAGAGCTAAAATGTGTGTATCAGAGATATGGTGTGGTGTTCGAGTCAAAACTTTGCGCTCCATTAGTCAAACTATGAATTTGCTTGTCGGACTGTGTTTTATTCTGAACAGTAGTTCTGGTTCTGGGTGAGCTGCAATTTCTTCAAGCGCATAACTTTTGAAACTCATGCTTTTTTGGTGTCAATAACTTGAGTGTGGGTTTTCTGGGATGTTTCTTCATAGCGTTTTTACTCTTTTATCGGCTAGAGTGATTTATGGTAGAGGTTCAAAGAGGAAAGCTACGGAGAAAGACCAATCTGTTTGTTTTATATTGTGAAACCTTTCTTTTGGAAAAAGTTTTCAATAGAAAATTTTCCTGACTCGTACATACAAAAATATATATTTGTTACATTTATATTTAATTAAAAATAGCATCTATGGAATACAAAATAGTTGAAAATAAACGTCTTATTATATGGATTGAAAATGGTTGACTGACTTAGATGATGGGAATAAAAATTATTTAAAATGATTTTTGAAGAATAGGTTGAAGACATTAGGCAATATTCAATATGAACAAAAAATGAAAAATGTAAATTTATAGAATGTTGCTGATGATAGATGATTTATTATTTAAATTTGTTCTAAAAATAAAGGAAAATTTCTATCCAAATAACCTGAAATCGGGTGTTATTTCAATTTGGGATTTGAGTTCCGCATAAATTAGGTTGATTTGTCTTCAAATTCAAAATTTTTTTTTTTAAGTTTCTTATATATTCCAACTAGTAAAAATACAGTCTGCACTAAAACTTCATGAACCACAAAATTTTTGCTTTACTTTTACTAAACTTAAGTAAAATAACTGACTTATACAAATCATTCTGAGAATTTTAAGCTATGTAATAGTTCATACCCTTTCTTTTCTTCTTTGCAGTCCTTTACAAAGCTGTGGGGAATTTCGCTTGCTTCCAATTAGTTATATTTATTGATGATATTTGATTTTGTTTCTAGTGCCCGCTCTTGAATTTAAGCTACTGTCCGCCATCTGAAGCTGACTTCTCAAATGGAAAAAGCCTGGTAATTTAATTTATTCTTTATTTGTATATCCATGTGGTAATATCAATTGCGATTGAGCTATTCAAATTTTCTAAACTGAAGGTTGTTCTGGTGTACAACTCGCTGGGTTGGAAAAGGGATGATGTGATCCGAATACCTGTAAGAAACTCTTAATTCCAAACCTGAACTCTTTCTCTAAGTATGCTACATGCTTCATAAGATACCAAAGCTGCATAATTTAATTTGTTCTCTTATTCTTACATGTACTTTAGTACTAGGGAATTATCATAATATTCTCAGCATAATCCCAGTGTTAAACTAGAGCTTTTAGTGATGCTACTTAATGGATAAATTGCCTTACGAACCTATATTTTTGCCCGATATTCACTTTATTCCTTTGGCTCTCTTAGATGCCAAGTAGGTCTGACCTCCTAAAACTTTCAGTTGGGTCCCTAATTGAGATGAAAGATGGGTTAGAAATTGCAAGAAAGTATAAAAAATTTCTCTCAACTAATTAATTATTATTATTATTATTGATATATAATCCAATAATTTTCTTGATCGGGCACGAATCTCAAAGCAAAATAAAGTTGGAAATTTCAAAGCTTAAATCGGAAACCACATGAACTCTGATTTTGGCAAACTTATAGTCGAATTAAAGGTCTCGAAAATACGAACCCAACGACACCAAATTCGACCCAATCCGAGCTCAAATGGGTCCAAATCAAAGACCCGAAGCACATTTGGAAGGTTCAATCCATAATTTGGATTACCAAACAGTTCCAAATGGGGCGTGCTTATAGTCGAATCGAGCGGCTCAACAAGACGAATCCAATGAGCACAAGATCGTCAAATTCTGATATCATTAAGACATTCAAATGCTCAAGAAACGGTCCATGATCAAGGGATTCAACATCGGCCGTCCATTCAAACTACTCCCAATTTACTCTTGATCTTTCTCTTATTTACTGATCATCCCACTATCAGAAAACTATAAATAGACCCCTCATTTATCATGGGAGGGGACCCATGCAAGAGGAGAAGAGAAGAGAATGAAGAGAAGAGAAGAGAAGAGAGCTTCCTTGCCACCAGACTCCTCCTCGACCACCGCCGGACTTTCACCCGGCAACCGATCGACGCCGAAGTTTTGCCCGACTAACGCCGGAGTTCTGTCTGACCGCCGAGTGACACTGGAGTTTTGCTCGATCGCCGACTGACTTCGGAATTTTGCTCGATTGCCGACTGACGCCTGAGTTCTGTCCGACTGTCGACTGACGCCGAATTCTATCTGACCGTCGATTGACGCTGTAGTTCTCCCCGACAACTGACTAACGCTGGATTGAAGCCGGATTTTTGCCCGACCATCAAACGTTGCCGGATTTTTTATCTATGTTTGTAACTGAAGTTCAACCCGGGAGTTGATTATTGTAATATGACCGTCCTCAATTTGAAGGACGGGTTAACCACTTGTAATCTAAGCAAACACTAGTGTAACCCTTTTAACTTGTCATGACTGTGGTTTTCCCTTTTCCAGAGTTTCCACATAAAAATTATGGTGTTATACTTTTCTTCTGTTGCTGTGCTGGATATCCATACAGTATTGAGAAGAAAATTTTCTAACTCTATCGCCACGTATATTCTAGCCCGTTACAATTATTATTTTAAAAAATAAAAAAGTATAATCAATTTCCAAATCCCGTAAATTCCACTGCCGCGCGACGTCCCCTCGAATCTTCGTACGCTTGTACGAAAGCTCTTGGCTTTCAGTCCCTTCTCTATTCTTTTCAACCCAACTTCACGCTCGTCTTCTAATTGAATAGTAACTCCCACTCCCGCAACTCTTTTCCTCTTCTCAGTTCCAGCACTCTAAGCCACAGCTCCAGTCGTTGCTGCCAGCGATCTTCAGCTCCTAGCCTCTTGGCACATCGACCACACCCCAGTTGCACCCAACCTCCTTCGATTTCCCTTCTCAAGTCCCCACTAGCACTAGTCAGCTGCCCAAACCGCTGACGCAACTCAATCGACCATCACCAGCCCGTTGATTGCCACGCCTAGCTCTACCTCTTCAACCTGTTGGCGATCCCTTCAGCCACCACCCCTGTTTCTATGGGCTTCTTGAAGTTGTCACACTATTGGATCCTGACCCCTTCTTAAAAATATATAAAATCACAGAGTGAATTAACAACTCAGTATATTACTAGAAGCTATAACTAAAATCAATGTAAGATAATTTAAAGAGTATGTATGTAATCATTTAATCACTATCAATATGAATATATAGCTGTAAAAGCATGTAACGATCAATGAAACAATAATGTTGTATATCTTAAGAGTATTGATTAGTTATTAAGTGAACACTAATTACTAATTTTTGTCAATCTTATACCAATAGAATAATTTATATAATATCTTATTATATCAGTACTCTGCCATTATCATTTGCATGTCGTGTAGTCTCTATGTTATGCATGTATATCATATAAATCATGTGATATATATAATATTTGTATCAGTTTTATCAATCTTATCAAATACTTATATCAATCATAAAATATATCTTTTTCACATTTGTGTTTCCACAATTGCTATATTATAATAAGTATGCATGTCATATATGCATATAAAAAGATTTTAATAACTATTTCTCAAAATTTTAAATTTATTCAAATTATGATATTTCATCCAAAATACAAAAATATTTGATAAAAATTTAATATATTCCAGTCAAAATGCTCATATTGACAACATCTATCACATATAAAAAATTAGGTGATAAAAGTTTGCTAAAAGTTAAAATATCGCAAATTTTGTGCATTATGATCAAATTTAAATAAAAAAAAAAAAAAAAAAAACATAAAATCTTTAAAATCAAAAGTAGGGTAATAGTAGTCTACCTTAAAACAAACAAATTTTACAAAGGATCGACTAACAAAATCGCTCTATGGCCTCTAAACATTAGATTTTCTTTTCTCTCTCATATCTTTTCTTCTCAAATCTGATTTTTTTTTTCCCCTGATTTAGGACAAAATAAAAAATGAAATGGTTATTTAGATTGGAGATAGTGGATTAGAATTTTTATAATAAAATATTCTAAGGATATAAATATAATTATATTAATTATTTAATTTTTAGCATAAAATTCTTATAATTCCTTTTATATATTCAAATTTAGACTTTTAAAAATTATGGCAAAATAGCTAATTATGTCTAGAATGATAGGGTGAAATCGGTTTGTAAAATGGGCACCTAACTGTCCTAAAAATCTCACATATACTGACATTTGTCAATTTTTATACTGCCCACCATACGAGTCTATCAACAACACCATGAGGCTGGATCTGCTAGCCTTCCTTAAGGACAAGCACAATACGGCCAAGAAGATGGTTCAAGTTCCTCTTTAGGAGCGTAAGAAGATGAATGAGAGGAGAATCATTTATTTGTTCACTCCACCATGTTATTAGTATAGGCACAAAAACAAATACAATGTCAAATAAAAGTAAATGCTAAAGAAATATCTTAGTTGAATGCCAAGATGACTAAGATGATGCATAGATGGTCGCAATAATGCAGTTGATGCAAAATAATATTGCTTCTAATTCCACACCTATTCCACCAATCAAGCACCGCTCCTGCCAATCCACTAGCTCACTTGATATCCTAAGTCTCAAGAATTTTGGGCTTACCTGAAAGGAGACTGATCATTTGACTCACCAACTTACACCTGAAAATATTGCAAGTACATATGAGTTTGTGAGAGCCACAATTAGAAACAATCATTACTGAGAAGATTCAGGCTGTTGTAGCTCTGAAGTGGAAATTTTGGTGAGCGAGGGTCATCCTTATTCACTGATTATGACCAAGAGTCATACCCAAAAGATTATTTGGTGCCTAAATTCAATACTTTTAATGAAAAGGGCAACCTGAAGCACCACTTGGCCCAATTCAAGGCATCTTGTGGTAACGCATGGGGTGACGACGCACTACTCTTTCGCTAGTTTGGCAGTAATTTGATATCTATTGTTTTTGAGTGGTGCATCGAACTTCCTAATGGCTCGATTAAGACTTTCGCCGAGCTCAAAATTATGTTCATAAAAAGTTTGCTAGCGCTACGAAGAAAATAACTATCACTGATCTCGCCTTTTAGAAAAGATGATGAGACGAGTTAGTGACAAAATATATTACCCGCTAACGTAATTAACATGACATGTGCACAACAATTGGAGGAGGAATATATATTCTAATTGCTGATGAGTTACATTAATGGCAAGATAATGCTTATATGTGCATGTCATGACCCAACCCGACCGGAACGAATCCCTTCGCGTCGGGCCGCGACAAAAATTTAAAATCCAGGATCTAGTTTTGGAATTTGTTTCAGACTTTCTTCCAAATAGCAAACATACATAAAACACAGAGCTATTATAAACATCCAAATATACAGAACAGCTCATCCATATTTTCTTCTTTCATCAAAAGAATCATGTACAATACAGTGCATGGCTACAGACAGAAAGAACATAACAGAAAAGCCATGACTGTATAAAAATCAAAAGTACAAAATACCTAATCTCAGATCAGACACAGAACTGCTAGTCCAAGACCTGAAAATCATACAGATAACAATAATGAGCTAACAGCTCAGCAAGACTACACCAGGCAATCAAAATCTCCAGAAATTCACTTCAGAAAATACATTAGAAGAGTAACCGTACTGAATTCAGATAATCACAAAAATCGTATATAATCAAATGAAATTCAAACAATTCAGATACTTGATTATAATCAAACAGCTGATACAGAAGAACTGAATTTATTTCGAATAGCAGAATATTCAAGTCAGATTTCGCAGAACCAACGAAATCGTACAGAACAACAGAATCATACAGAACAAACGGAATTGTACGGAATAGAATTCAAATCATAAAAGCACATTTCACATAACAGATATCAGATTTCCGGACCCTGACAGAATCTCAACGGATTCTGGCTCCTTATACCTCCCTTCCCTGACACTGACAGAATCTCAACGGATTTTGGCCCCTTATGTCTCCCTTTGTGCTTAAAGCACCAGAACATAACAGATATACAGAATTTTCAGAACAGAACTTGTTTTCAGATTTCCCGGACCCAGACAACGGAATCACAAAGGATTCCGGCCCTTATAACTCCCTTCTGATATCACAGCACATCAAAACATAAATCAGAAAAATCGAATACTTCAGAAAATTCGTCAGCAGCATAACGACAGTATACGGAATTTTCACAAAATCAGAATTTTACCAAATTATCACTTATAGTATAAAACATCATTGTAAGACTTTCATTATACTGAAACAACATTTTTCAACATCCAGATAATTCGTAATTCGATTAAAACACCGCAGAATTCAAAATACTCGGTAAAAATCTTCCATAAAATACTCAAAACGTGCAAAAACTTCATCTCAGAAACATACCAAAAGTTACGCAGTAAAAGTTTTACCGGTGCAAAGTTATACCAGTTTTTCGCTAACGGAAAATGAATTTGAAATAGAAAATCTGTCAAAAATCATATTTTTGAAAATTGAGAAAGGCATAATGTGCATTATCTCGAGTCGGTCAACTTTTTCAACTACGGCGACGGACGAAAACGGGTCGAAGTCGCTCAAAAATCCCATTTTCTTCCTCTTTCCACAGTTTTCTCTCTCCTCGGCTTGCGTTCCCTTCAAAAATGACACTATTCAGATATTTATCAAGCAGGATCGTCCAGGACGATGTCCTGATCGTCCCGGGACGATCTCCTCCGGACTCCAATCGTTCAGACGAAAATTAATTCCAATTTTCTTCGTCCCTGGACGATGCTCTATGTTTGGTTCATCCCGACGGTTCATCCCGGCGAACCAAGGTTCGTCCAGACGAACATGCATATTTTCTCTGTTCGTACTGGCAGTTCGTCCGTACTAACCATACAGATTTTCAACATTTCTTCAGTTCGTCCGGACGGTTCGTCCCATACTAACTGCAGAAAAAAAAATTTAACATAAATTGAAAATTGAAGGGTTTCACAATGCATGACCTCTATCATAATATTTTAAGAACTACTTGATCTAGTGATGAAATTAGAATGTTGAAATTTCCAAACTTCAAAAACCATCTTCATAAGTTCAAAGGAAGCAAATCTTTAGATATTAGAGGTGAATGACATGTCTCTTCTTTTGTCGTGGATAAAAAAAAGTAGTCTATTAACAAAGGAAAGCAACCCATTTAGAATGAAAGTAAAAGAAAGTATCATTTTATTCCCAACCCTCAACCAAAGATAATACTTATGGGAAATAACAAATCTTGAACTTTCCTTAGTGGAGAAGATCATAAAAATCAAACAATGTGAGTTTAAACCCTAAACTATGCAATCCATTAGATTCATTCAACAGAGAAAACAAGTTAAAGATTTTCTAGCATAAGCTCAAAGTAGGTCTTCAATTGCAAGAATATAAAAGCTTGATTAAGCCAACAAAAAGCAGTAATCTTAGTTATTGCTTGATTAACCACTTTATTTGTAGAAGGCCTAATTTTCTACTTTACTTTTTAGTTTTTACCATGCCTATGTAATTGACACCGATAATAATATAGAAAACTTTTCATATGAATTATATATATTTATTCATACTTTAATATCTTAGTGATTCTTTCATTTAATTTTGGATTTTATTCTTAATAGTTAATTAATATTTATTCTTATGCAAATACATAATCATAAGAAATATTTGTAAACCCTCAATTTAATATTTGCAAGTTATATTTTAAATGCTTAACAAATCACTAGAACTAAATTTTATTTCAATTCTTATTTATTTTTTTTTTTATTTTGCTCCTTACCTATAATCAAAATATATAATAAAAAATATAGTTATTCAAATTGTCTAATTTATAAAATTTCTCCTATAATTATGTCATATACATCATCTAAATTAATATTTAATTTTATTATATACTTATATTGTCACTCACTTTCAAAATCTTTAATTTAATACATGATATATAATAAGTATTATTTATATCTATTCAATCTTCATTAAATTTTATATTAGACATAGTACGATGCCTCGAATCAAGACTCTCAGCAGAATGAGTCCCTGCTAGTGCTTGGTGTGACTTTTTGGACAACAGAAACTCAAGTTAGTGTTAGGGTGCAGCGTGAGGGCTCGCGCGATTACGCTCAAGCCACTCGCCTGGCTACCTTTGGCCGCCCTCAATCTTGCTTTCGTTCGCGCGCTTTCTCGTTCTGTCGCTCGCTCTCGGACTCCCGCTTGCCCTCTCTTTAACTTCTTCGCTTTTCCTTTCTCTGTGATTTGACTGCTTACTCTGTCTCTCGCTGTCGACTCCATCTATATGCAGCTCCCTCCTCCATTCATATCCCTCTCACTCTCGATTTAATAGGCAGGCGGGCCGATGAAGAAGTTTCGCTAGAACCAGCTACCGCGGGTTTATCTTTGAGAAGAAAAAAAAAAAAACGGGATTTTACATAAGCAAGCCCTAGCCCGGCGGTGACGGAGACTCGTGAGAAACCTCACGAGTATGCGACAAGGAAAGGCTGGAGTGGCGCACTATAATGCCTAGGGTTATGTGGAGATCGCGCGAGAATGAAGCGGCGGCAGAGCGAGCGCGGCCGATGTGCTGGACCTGATTGACCTCTAGCTTGGATTTAGAGATTCATGCCTCGATAGACAAGGTTTAATGTGCACCTGGATTTTGTTGAAAATTTCCATCATGAATCTCATAAATTGTTTTTTCATCAATGTAACTATGTTTTAGTGAGTAAAGTTTTCAGTGGCGGTGGAATCTTTGAAGTTTGAACCCTTGAAACTTGCAGGGTAATGTTTTGTTTTTTTTAATAAGAGACAGGTGGTTGCAGTGTTATATATTGGAAAGGAAAATAGGAAAACAAAGTGTTAGTTATTTTCTTTATTTTTTTGTAACAATTGAAAACAATGAATTCAGTCATTTGAATAACGATAAATGTTCTTTTACTTTTAATCATTATGATGGTACGTATAATTGCAGCACATATTCAAATTTTTTTCATGTTATTTTACACTATTGGAGGACTCTGGTGGACTGGTTTGTTCTTGAAGATAGGCATCTTATTCTAGTTTGTTTTGGAGTAGCTATTTATAGAGTTTTTGAGTCGCTGCAGGTTGTCAGCGATTCTGTCACTGTCCTGGATTCTTCCAGTGGTGGAGAAATTGAATCTCAGCTTTTACCTATCATTGAAGCTTCTGTGAGCATAAGAAGTCAATATGTGAAGGCCTATCTTGATGAATCCGTTGATGTTGCTCCCAAATTTTGGCTTGCTTTCCAGGTGTCTGTACCACCATTTGGCTTCAGCACATATATTATTTCCGGTGCTAGAAGCAGAGGTTTATACTTCTATACTTTTCTTGATGCGTGTCTTACAAGCCTGAATGATTGTCCTCTAATCAAAATCTTATATCTTGTTTCGAGGGCCTTGATAACTGCTTAATTGATTTCAGTCTCTGCTGCTGCTATATCATCTCTGCACCAATCAAAGGAAAGCAACAATGGTAATATAGAGATTGGTCCTGGGGAATTGAAGCTTCTATTTAATTCCAATGAACGTGAACTCTCTTATTATACTAACAGCAGAAGAGCTGTAAGTTTCAGGATTTTTAGTATTAACTGGATTTGCTAAACTATTGCATGATCTTGTCTCCTGCTTCTACCTGTACTGCCCCAATTTATCCTATCTGGACTTGAAATGATAAATAGAAAACTTTATGCTCATTAAAGAACCTTTAGATATGTGCCACCGAGGAATTGCTAAGGAGATTTTTTTTTTAATTCAAGTTGGACTCACATTTGAAATTTGTCATGATTTTCTAATCATTTCTGGATCCTTTTTCCCACTTTTATAATAGCTTCAAAGTTCAAATTTGTCATGATTTTCTAATCATTTCTTGATCCTTTTTCTCACTTTCATAATAACTTCAAATTTCACCTTTTACGTGTTGAGTGAGAATTCAAAGCCATTATGAAAAGAACATTTAGATATATATGGTCCATGATGAGCGTCTACATGGAAAAGTTTGTTTATTTTAATTATTTAAAGCTCTCTAAAAATTCTCCTCCTTTTCTGGATGTTCTAGGTCAATTCGTCCTTAAAGCAGTCATATAAGTTCTATACTGGATCTGTTGGAGAATATGCTGATCCTCAGGTATGCAAAGGCTATAAAAACTACATGTTTTGAATTTTTTCTTTAATATTACTGGAATTAACCTGTGGGGCCTTCCTTTTTCTTCTCAATCTAATCAGTTTTATTTTTTTGATGCATATTGAAGGCTTCTGGGGCTTATGTTTTCCGCCCAGATGGTACTCACCCCATCAAATTCGATGAAGAGGTATCCTTTACCTCTGTAAATGGCAGGGTACATAGCTGCTGTTGTCATTTTTTATTAGTTTTTTAGTTGTTTTGAGAACTGATATTTGCTCCTTATGAAGCTGCTATGCTAAGGTAATTAATTTGAGGCTTTCCTTATTAGTGTGAATAAGTTGTGGGGCAGCTTTGGACCGGTATTTGCATGCATATGCTGTGGCTCTCGAGCCCTATGTTGTTTATTGGGGTACTTATTGTGTCAAATTTATTTTTGTTTGCTGATCCATCTAATTCACCATTTGTTATGAACATTTCCATTTTGTAAGGTGCCATTCAATATTCTCCAAGGACCCATATTGGATGAGGTGCATCAACAGATCAATCCATGGATCTATCAGGTTATTTAATTTTTTCTAATGTAGTTGTTATATCCTAATTATTATATTGATGACAATTTTTCACCTTCATCTTTTGAATATAAAATTAAACTAAGTGTTTCAGAGATGAGGATTCTCGGGTAGATGTAGAGCTTTACATTTAGAGATAGAATGCAAAACGAGTATATACGTGATGGTTTGGTTACATAAATCATCAGCCTTCCGATGGAATTTTTATTGCGTCCTCCCACCTGACGTAGAGATACGTCCTCCTAGAGCTAAATTCGCGCTAAAAAACGAGAAATACCGAGCAAATACCGAGCAATACCAAACAATAACGTGGAATATCATTATGTGAAGACCAATACTGAGTTATACCGAGCTATGCCGAGCAATACAAAAAAATACCTAGTTTTTCCTAGAAAAAACTCGGTATTTTTTTGTATTGCTCGGTATTGCTCGGTATAGCTCGATATAACTCGGTATTGGTCTTCACATGATGATATTCCTCGTTATTATCAAATAATACCTAGCAATGCCGAGCAAAAACCGAGTTTTTTGGCGGTGGGAGGACGTATCTCTACGTCAGGTGGGAGGACGCAATAAAAATTATTCCTTCCGATGACCCTGTTAGGATGGTAGATGTATTAAATCCCGGCCTATGTTAAGGAATGTAGAGGCAGGCCTAAAAATACTTGATTAGAAAGTATTAAAAATGACTATTTTAATTAGATTTAAATGAGAATTTGACTTTTAATAGAATAATACGATGGAGAAAAATTATTCATATAGCTGATCCCACGTAGTGTGATAAAGGTTTGTTGTTGATGTATCTTTTGACTGTACAACTTTGAAAATGAAAAAAAGAAAACAATTACATGATTAGTATTTTTAGTTGAGAAAACTAGGTTAAGCTAATCTGATTATACAATCTTAATGATGGTTAATACCATGGGAAATTCTAGGTTGCAAACTATAAACAAGAAATGCAAATAAGGAATTTCAATAATATTTCAAAATGTGAAAAGTAAAAGAAAGAAAAGTAAACATAAATTGACATGAATTTTCTTTGCAGAATTATTCAATTAGGCTATCTAGATGGTGAAAATTAAGATTTATGCGATGCTATGCAATGGACTTAGATTACATTATTGTTGAATCTAATTTCTAGCATGAGGGTATTATGAAAATTCTGCATGAAGAATGGACAAGCTCAACGAGGAATGGTGATGTAACCCGTCCATGAAGCAGTATGGTAAGAGGTAAGATCTACGTCGTCTCTTTTCTGAATTCATATTTAGAGAAACTTGTTATTCAAATAAAAAATAAAGGAATAGGAAGAAAGACTAGATAATTGATATTATTGTGCTTATAGGGTGAATACACACACACAAATATGCAAAGTATTAAATTTAGAATTTAAATAAAATAATATAATGAAAATTCCATAAATAACTGTAATTATCCACTTTAATTGCTTATGTACTTCAATTTCTTTCAAATATTTCAAATAGTTGATCCTTGAGATAGCTCTGCAACCTAAAGTTACACATCCAATTACATAATTATTACCATCCTTAATTTTCATTAATTTCAAATAAAAATTTTCCAGATATAATCTTACATCAAATCCAATTTTTGAAGTTGATATTTACCACTAGTTTTCTTCATCCTATTAGACGATCACTTATTATTTCATCAATTAAATAACTTCAAAATAATAAATTTGAATGTGAAATTATAATTAGACCTTTCCTCAGTTGTTAGAAAATGGAAGAACTTCAAATTCTTAATTCTCTTTTTCTCTTCTTTATACTGCATTTAACTTAAAAATTATAAAAATTATCCTACACTTAAATTCACATCAATCTGTGGTAAATTTCTAAAATTTGAACTTAAATAAATCTTAAATTTACATCAATCGGCGGATTTTTTCACCCGCTGAAGGAAAAATGGCCCGGTTCAGTTGAACCGGCTGAACCGGTGTTTACAATTGGTCATTGGACTTGATGCTTGTACCTTGTTTGCTGATTGTTGCCCCTTAGGGTAGGTGCACATGCAATCTCTAGTCTTGGTGCTTACATTAGTTCCCTCGATGATTCTGTCTAGCTCGCCTCTTATCAATTTATGCTCTACTTCTCATGCTCAATATTCTGCCTCTTCGCTCCTTGTGGCTCTAGGGCAGATGCGGTGCATTTTAAGTTAGGATAGTCCTTAGGAGTACTTTATCCATTTTTGTTCTAGAATACTCTTTTGCTCTCATAAGTAGGTCTTGTAGAAGAAAAAGGCATTGAATGATATTATCCCCATTAGAAAGCTTTGAAAGCTTCTTGTTCTTCTTCCCTGGATTGGGAAAATCCTAAAATCCTTCTTGCAGGTATCATCTTCCGACGATCCACTACATCAGTTGATATCAGAGCCTGGAGCTTGTGAAGATCGATGAACTGTGGAAGAAGGTCGGCTGTCGACGACGATCGAAGCCGCAAAACAAGATTGGCGGTCGACGACGATCGACGTCAAGGAAGGTGGGCTGTCGACGATGCTCGAAGCCGAATCGCCTTCTATCAAGCTCAATCGAAGAAGTCGCTCGATCAGGTAGATAGAAACCTTGATCTGATTCGCGAAACCCTTCGGGCAATAAGGAAGATGAGAATGTCGTCGGCAACCATACCGAGGCATTCTTCTTCTTCGATCTCCTCATCCGCTTCACGCAGACGCCATCAGTCCCGCGATACTCCCACGCTCGTCGATGACTATGCTCCGCTCGAACTCCCGCTCCGATGGCGTGATCCACCGCCGGAATACCCTCCGCTCGAGCTTCCATTGCGTTGGCGAAATCCCCTGCCTCCGCAGATTATGTCGCATCGCAAACGGAACTACGATCGTGATCCGATCCAGATCGATTCCGATCCAATAGAAACATCTGCCGATGCGAAATGCCCCAAATCCACATGAAGACGTTCCAGTCTTTGACCAAGCCCAAATCCGACGAACAGCCGCCGATCTGGCGATGTCGGCAGCAGCCGACCAGGCCCCTGCCGACCAGACTCCCGCAGCCCCAACAGCCGCCGATCTAGAGATGCCGACAGCAGCCGATCAGGCCCCCGCTGACAAGACTCCTGCAGCCCCAACCTCTGATTCGCCGATGCGATGCTTTGCCGGACGCTTGCCCGAGCGGGCTACCGCTACCTCTCCACCTTAGCCAAGACGTGCAATCCTTGAGACTGAGTGGGCGGGACAAGCTCGCTGTGGTCAGACGGAATCTCTTCCTCCTGATACTATGCCAAGATCGGACAGCCAAACCGCTGAAAACAACTCCAATCCAAACACTCAGCACTCTGGCATGGTTGAGGACGAAGCTTCTTCAGACGTTCATGTCCTTTCCGCCCAGGTGAGTATCCGCTCAACACAGTCACTGCATCATTTTTCTCCGGTCAAGTCAAGACCAATATCGCGATCTCGATCTGAGAGCCCTGCGAGGAGCCTATCTCAGGCTGTTGAGCTTCGGCATAATCGCCGGAGAAAGGCCCAGCTAGGAAAACGATCCATTTCAAACCTCCCAGAGTCCTTCATGGCGAGATCCTGCAGCCTTCGACCTGTCGGCGAGACTCTCCCGCCGTTAATGGACGGACCAGATCCTCACGCTGCCAGACTTGATGGAGATGTACAGGAAGATTGAGAAGGCTGAATTTGGATGCCCATATTGGTTTGGCTGTCAATGAAAAGACCTTGATGTAGTGGATCGTCGGAAGATGAAAGATGTACAGGAAGATCAAACTTGATGGAGATGTACAGGAAGATTGAGAAGGCTGAATTTGGATGCCCATATTGGTTTCCTACTAAAGTGCGGAAGTTGTCAAAGATCTTAGACCCAAATCCAAGTACCAGAATTCCAATTGTTAAAATTATGTCACATTCAGGGTTTAGAAAGGGATTTGAAGCTGAAAAAAAGATTCCTACTGCTCTTACCTCAACTTTTAACTCCAATGGTAGTAGCAGTCAGGTTGAGCAAAAAGAGGATAGTTTGAAGGCAACAACCATGAATGTATTTGATATAATCTCTCTTTTTGATGGATTTGATCTTTCTGGTTTATTTGAGGACCTTGACCGCAAAAAAGATGCTCGTTTCACTTCTTGGTTGCCTGCAGCAGCCATTATCTCAAAGCTTGAGGAAGTTGTCAAAAGCCTGAGGTTCAAAGTGCAGAAGACGGATGTTGTGAATGCTGATGAACTTGAGTACAACGATCGGGTGGATGATTCAGTCTCCAAGCACCAGGTAATCCGTCCCTTGTTTGCATATGGTTCCCGGCTGGTATTCCGCCTATCTGGAACTGGCTCAGAAGGTGCCACAATTAGGCTCTACATTGAGCAGTATGTGAATGATTCTTCAAGGCTTCGAGGGACTCACAAGAAGCCTCTTCATGTGGTAATTTTAAAGTCCGCATTCAAAGTCTTCGATCCGGGATTCTGCCGTCTGCAACTTCTTTGTCAATAATGCGTCTCGACGGAGTCGAGCCTTTTTTACGCTAGGGGAGAATAATGCGGTGCATTTTAAGCTAGGATAGTCCTTAGGAGTACTTTATCCATTTTTGTTCTAGAATACTCTTTTGCTCTCATAAGTAGGAGGTCTTGTAGAAGAAAAAGGCATTGAATGATATTATCCCCATTAGAAAGCTTTGAAAGCTTCTTGTTCTTCTTCCCTGGATTGGGAAAATCCTAAAATCCTTCTTGCAGGTATCATCTTCCGACGATCCACTACATCAAGGTCTTTCATTGACATCCATTCTATTTATTTCATGGAAGGTTCCTTAGGTTCAACCACATTGTGGGATCTCCCTTGCTACGCTTTCATTTCATTTGTTGAGGATGTTAAGGGTGAGAAAAGTCATGGTCCTCTGCCTAACTCCATCTATTTCCTTAGGTTGGTGGCCTAGTGGTTGAGATTGACCCCATATCATTCAGTTCCTTTTATGACTTTTGCTCCTAATGATTTTCCTAAAACTAGGGATATGAGAATTCCAGATCTTTTTCTATTCCGTATGATAGTTGCTTTTGCAGAATATAGGAGCTTATGGACAAAATGTTTCAAATTGTATATGCTAAGAGGGGATGAAATAGAAAGAAAATATATCTTCTCTCCAAAATATTTCAGGGTCTAAGTTAGACAATTTTAATAGGACACTCAGGGTTTTTCTTCTAGTTGTTGGTTCTATTCACCACCTATTGGCCTTTTCTATGCATTTTATTTATTAATTCCTTTGTTCGTCAAACAATATTTTGCTATTACTTTGTAATGCACTTTTTATTGAATAATCATTGTTAAATCCCAACCTTTCAATCCGACATTAATCCCACAGCTGCAAGTAGCGATCCATGGGAAGCTCATCTCACTATGGGATCTTAATCGGGTGTACATTCATCCCCCATTATTAAGATTAAAACACTATTGTACATTTGCACACTCCTTGCACAAACTAAATATATTTCATCCTAATCAAGAGTGATCTTCTAATGCGTTAGGAGGGGTAATTAACTGTGAGGGCTTGCGCTCATAGGAAGTAGAACCCAGATCTAAATAAATCCTTACACTACTCTCAAAGGAAATCTGGTTAAATTTCAAATTCAATCTACCTTGGGAAAATTGGAACCTTAAGCTTGTAAGAGTGAGGTTTGCGCCTAAAATTTCTCCTAGGCGAACACCAGGCAAGTGGAATAGCCGAATAGGTTTGAGACTATTATAACACTCAACAAGCGCTTGCTGTTTGTAGAATTCTACAATATTTAAAACTACATATATATAAACAATGATTTATAATGTAAAAAAATTCATTTGATCTCAAGCTGGTTTAGTCTAATTTGCATTAGGCTAGAAATCAGCTCAAAAAACTTTGATTTGAACATTTGGCTCTCAATTGTTTCGATCTGATATTGATCCAATCCAAATTTCAAATCGATTCTTAGCGATCTTCAATTTTTAAGCTAAACTCACAGCTTTAATCTTGATTCAATGATTCGATATTCCTGTGCTCTTTTAGTATATAGCCTATGATGCACCGACACTTCTCCTCAAAGAGGCGTGCAGTGTCCGACACCGTGTCCGACACGACACTCGTCCGACACTCCTCCGACACGTGTCGGACACGCCGAAAACGTGTCCAATTAAAAAAATATTAAAAATAAATTGGACATGTGTATCTTAAATATTTTATAATTTTTTTAAAATATAATTTCTTATATTTTGCGAGATTTAAAATAAATTTCTTATTTCATATCCACAACACCAAATCAACATTTGCATTTAATACCCATTCATCGAATATTTTCATTTTTATTTCTCTTTGGCAGTGAAGGTATTTTCATCTCCTCTCTTTTTGCACAATTACAAATCTTTCTCTTGTTGAACCAGAGTTGAAAGTAGTGATATTCAATGATGATGATATTGAAGGCAAAAAACAAACCTCTAAAGCTAATCCTAATAGTTGAAGCTTGAATGCTTGATGTTGTAGTAAGTGATTATTTGCTTATATTTTTGTGGTTGTACTAGATATTTTATACTAAATATTTTATATTATAAGCTAGACAAGTTATCATGTCATTCATTTATTATTATTTTTCATTTTTAATATGATATTACATTAATATATATACACTATATAAAAAAATGTATTGCTGTGTCCGCGCCGTACCCGTGTCCTATATTTTTAAAAAAAGCCGTGTCCGTGTCGTGTCGTGTCCGTGTCGCCGTGTCCGTGTCCGTGCATCATAGTATATAGCTAAGGGCAAAAGAAAAGTTGCTTTCTTGGGCTAAAAGTGAATTGGAGGCTTTATTATAAGTCAGTAATTTGTTTGGAAGATTTAGCCACTCTTTGTTCAAATGAATGTCGCCAAGATTATTGTTGTTTTCCATCTTTAGCTTCACGGTATTGGTTTGATAAGTTGAGTATCTTTTGTTGATTCTGTAAGATTGATTATATTTGTTAGTTTTCCATGAAATTTCCAAAAAAATTGATATTGCATTCTCTTACATTTCTCAGTTTTGCTCTAGAATTTTGATAGGAAATACTTGAAATCAAGTAATTCCTAGCCGAAACTGAGGCGGAACCAGGGAAAAACTGCTGTCTCCAGCAGTGGACAGCAGCTTTACACAGGAAAACTGTGAGGAAACGCGAGAAAACTGAGATCCAACGCAAGCAAAGGCTAGTATTTTATTAGTAGACGAATAAAATTGCAAATATACAATTTGTTCTTCAATTCGAGAGGAAGAACGTACTCTCCAAAGTCTCTGGCGAAGTCAAGAGCCCAAAACAAAACCTAGATCAAAAAGAGAAAACTCAAATTCAAGATAATTCCTAATTCTCTCATAACTCTCTAATTAAAGCAAAAGGAAAGATACAAATTATATAAACACCCTTTTCATTCAAAAATTCCCTCCAACGAAACGCTCAAAAGCCGCCTAGCCCACTCCTTCGTCCGCCGTTTCTGCGATCGGCGGGTTCCGCCCGGCTCTGGACCGCCGGGTGTAGAACCAGACCGGTCCAGCTGGGACCGGTCCAATGTTATGCGTAACAAATTTTGATTGCAAGGGAAAACCCTTCATTTTGAAAAAAGTTCTCAGTACCTCCAAGCATTATTTTCATCTGTTCTCTTTTATTCAAACCTCAATGGAGTCCATGAACTTTATTTAGATCTTTATTGAGGCCTGCAAAAAAAAAATGTTCTTGATTTCTCCACAAGTTGATCTATTTGCCTGCACACTCCTTACACTAATCATTAGCTTGAAAATATATAGTTCGTGTCAAATTTTTGCGAGTGTTGCGAAGTATTCAGTGACGCATGCTTAGTTGAGATCACGAGTATGATCTCGTAATTCACATGATTGAGCTGAATTTTAAATATTTGAATACGTTATGTTGGCTTCCTGCCGAATTTCTTATGTGGTGTTATGGACCAAGGACCAAGCACAGGGATCCAATGCGTTCTTCCATAGAATTGTAAAGCAAAGGCATCACCTAGGCGTTATAAGTAAAATAGAATTTAGCATTATCCTTCCATTTGAAATCCATTTTTCAAGTCAAAGCAATGGTTGAGGTAAGACCTCTTAAGATTTATTTTTTTTTTTTCAATATTTGCTTATTACTGTTACTGGTCAAGTTTTTCATGCTATAGTTATTTTGTATATTTTGCTTCAATATTTCTGAAAAACTAGGAGCATTCTGTGGCCAAATTAATTCTATTTCGATCTTTGCAGATTACTAGAGTCTACAAGGCAAAAGATCATGTTGAATTTGAGTTCCTTGTAAGCACATTAGCTATTATTATAACATACTGTGTTCAACTGTTATTGTAAATCTGAAGATTTCAATGTTCCTTTTTTCCTTGAAGATCTTAATCCATCGTGCCAATTTGTATTTTCAGCGTTTATTGTTTCTGCTATCTCACATGGCAATGCCATTCTTTTGTTTAGGTCGGGCCCATACCCATTGGTGATGGAACTGGGAAAGAATTAGTAACTGAGTTTATCACATCGATGAAGACCAACAAGATATTTTACACTGATTCCAATGGCCGTGATTTTATAAAGAGGGTATCTTGCATGATTTCCAATCACTGCGTTAATGCCGCTAGATTTTTTTCCCCATATATTTTGAGCATATTCAAAGTTTGATGGCCTTCATGTTGCTTTACATAGATAATCTCCTGTGTTTTGCTATTTACAGATTCGAGATTACAGAGCAGATTGGGAACTGCATGTGAATCAACCTGTAGCGGGAAATTATTATCCTGTAAGTTTCTATTCGAAAGTAAACCTTTATTTGCTAGAAATTTGCAAAGATACCATCACCAATAGCTTGCAGCATTTTGTTACTTACCATGCTACCAGATATGTACATTATCTATAGTTCTCAAGAAATTATATGTGGTCCATCCGTCCATGTAAATTTATTCCGGAAGATTACATAGGGCAACTTTATTTTTTCAGATTAATCTTGGAACCTATATAGAAGATAATAGCACAGAATTATCACTTCTGGTTGACCGATGTATGGGAGGCTCCAGCATTCAGGATGGTCAAGTAGAATTGATGCTTCATAGGTACATTCTCCCCAGTATTTATTTTATTGAAGTAAGAAATTTAGTCTAATTAATTTATGATTACTTTTTTAATATACATGAGTACTCCAGCTTTGCATCATGTGTCTGCGAACTTTATGAAGTTTGAGTGTATTACTTACAACATATGTTAGCATGATGCATTAGAACCTTGGCCGCATTGCTATAAATGTGGACCTCTTAACCAGTTAATTTACTTTGAGGGCTTATAAGTATTTTCTAATTTTAATCTAAATAAAAGTCTTCGTGCAAGCCTTGGAGCAATGTCTGAGTTGCCTCTAGTGAATTATGGATGTTTGCAATTGCATGTTAAGGCTATGGATATCAACCCCTCCCCAGGATCCTTGTTGGCAGAAGCTTCGTGCACTTGATTACACCCTTTTATTCTAAACTAAGTTCCGTGAACTTTAATCTAAGCAAAAGTCTTAGGGTTGGCCTTGGAGCAGTGTTCCAGTTTCCTCCAGTGAATTCTAGAGGTCTGCAAATACATGGTAAGGCTATGAACATCAGCCCCTCAAGCTCCTTTTTAGCATAAGCTTCATGCACTCAATTACACCACCTCATTGGAAGCTTCATGCACTTAATTGTGCCTTTTATTTAAAACAAAAGGGCGATTAAGTCATTAATAAGAGTACACATTTTAGATATCTTGGATCAATTGTTCAGAGTGATGGTGAAATAGATGAGGATATTATCAGCAGAATTCAAGTAGGATGGTTTAAGTGGAGGAATGCATTGAGCTTGTTGTGTGATAGAAAAGTCCCCCTCAAACTTAAGAGAAAATTCTATAAGATGGTGGAGAGACGTGCAATGCCTTATGGTTTTGAATGTTGGCCATTAAAAGAGAAGCATAATACTAAGTTAAGTGTTGTAGAGATGAGGATGCTCAGGTGGATGAGTGGTTTTACCTTTAGAGATAGGATACGAAATGAGCAAATACGTGAAAAGGTAGGAGTAGCGCCAACGGAAGATAAGATTAAAGAGTCACCTTAGATGGTTTGGTCACATAAAACGGCGGCCTTCAATGAAAGTAGAGTTATTAGATTTGACTTATATTAAGAAAGGTAGAGGTAGATCTAAAAAGATTTGGTTAAAAAATATTAGAAATGATCTTTCTTTATTAGATTTAAATGAGAATTTGATTTTTAACAGGACAATGGAGAAAAAGTTTTCGTCTAGCCGACCTCACATAGTGGGACAAAGGCTTGATGTTCTTTTTTATTGTTGTTGTTGTACAAAATTGAATACAAGGACTTATAGAGGACTTGCAATGAGCTTCATAGCTTGCCTACAAATAATAATGTCTACCTTCTAAAAATTTGATTTGAAACAAAACTCTCTTAAAAGAGCCGGGTGCGATTTTTTGAATTCCGCAATAATGGTTGTCATTCTTAATATGGATTGTTTATACGGAAAGTCTTTTATTGAACCGAAACCTTTGATGTTTGATTTGTGAAAGAAAACGTTGCAATAGCCCATCTTAGATGGCTTGCAATATCTTTGAAAAAATTTCGGTGTTTTTTAAAAGTAACTTGACTTGCCTTCTTATTTCTATAGGCGATTGCTTCATGATGATGGTAAAGGTGTGGCAGAGGCACTCAACGAAATAGTTTGTGTGAAGAACGAATGTGCAGGATTATCAGTAAGAAAATTATCATTATTTATTCCAGATCTTGCTTATAAGTTTCAATATTTATAAATATTAGCGCCATGCACTAATTTCTTAGTACCCACTAGTTTACCCTTTATCTTCTTCCATGCAAGATCTGCATTGACTAAGTAAATAGGATGAAATAATAATTTTTATTTACATCATGACATACCTTGAGTATCCTTCAATATTAATTTAGTTGATAGAGTTATCTTCTAAGAATTCATACACTGTTTGATGGGTCAGTTATAATCAATTCCACAATAATCAAATGGAAAGAAAGGTGTTTTTTGGATCTAATAATCTTTCTTTTCATTTCATGTCAATTGCTCAAGTGTATTAAGCTCAGTCATGTGAACAACTATTTAAAAAGATAATTCTGTGGTTCAGAGTGGGAATATTTTAGTTACAGTGTCTAACATAAGTTCCGAACAAAGTTGACTAGTTAGTGGATGAAAACCATTTCGTTATATTATTCATCATTTGAAATTTCTACTAGCTATCTTTTAATTGAAACCAATGCAACTAACTTCATAAAACAATTATATGAAAACCATTTCTTTATATTATTCTTTCTTATCCTCCTCTGCCACAGGCATTGGAGATGTAACCAATACCACAGGATCCCCCACTCCAATCATCTTTCTTCCTATAGTTAACCTAAAATTTATTGCTTCACACTTCACAGATTAAAAAACTCTTAAGTCATGGTCCTTGAATCTCCAGAGAACTTCATTGCTTATGCAATCCTCCATTGTACACATCATTTGGTTATGCACACTATATATTTGTTATTTTATAGTTGATAGTTAATAGTTGGACTGAGCTCGGCTCATGAGCCTTTCATGGAGCCAAGCCCGAGCCGGATTATGGGTCGGCTTGACTTACTTACATCCCTAGTTGGAGAAGCTCTTGCCATTTTTTTTTCTCTTTTTAATCAATTATTTTTAGGATCAACAATTTCATGGTTACTCCAAATTGTTAATAATCTTGTAAATATATATTTCCATTTAAATTTGTGCACTTATCACTCAAGCGAATATATGAACTGCAATGTGAACAAAATTGAGGCATACATTACCCTACAACAGGTTCAGGGAAAATTTTATCTTAGAATCGATCCATTGGGGGAGGGAGCTAAATGGCGCCGAACTACTGGACAGGAGATATATTCTCCTCTTTTAATTGCATTCTCGGAGCAGGTATTTACCTTCATTCTCTTTAATAGCTAATTTATTTTCTTATAACTGCTTGTAAATTTGTTTTGACCCAGGATGGAGATAACTGGGCGAATTCTCACGTCTCAACCTTCTCCGCAATGGATTCTTCATATAGTTTGCCAAGCAATGTTGCTATGATTACCCTCCAGGTACTAAGTTGAAGGTCTCATGAATTACATGAACTTTTTGTATTTTTTTTTTATGAAAATCTATGTATAAACCCCTCTCATTAAAGATCAAAAGAAGGAATTAATCACTAAATATAAGAAAAATAAAGGAAGATACAAGCCAAAATAGGATATCAAGTGAACATCAAGTTTTTCTGTCGATGATAATATGGTAGATCAAGAAATTTCCAACTATTTTTAATTTTAGTGCCTTTTATACACAGTAGAGTGAGTCCAAAAGTGAGCTGAATAAATAATGTTAAATCTAATAGTCTTGTATCGTTCTTCCCTTTTCTTTTTTGAAAATCTAATTGTTCATTTCAATCAGAATATTCCATAAGGCCAAACAGAAGTATTCCAAAGTTCTTAAAGGCTATAAGTATTGAACATAACGCCCAATCCAAAAATGATTGAACAGTCTTCTCCAAATATTGCAAACCCCACTTCCTTAATGCCGATAAAAAAATGATTGAAAAGGCTTTCCAAATATTGCATATCCCACCAAAATTAAAGAAAATATCAGAGTTATTCTAAGATGCAGAATTACACATGCTACAAAGTAATAGAAGAAATGATGTTGAGCTTAAAATGATGGGACTTGCTTTTCCACATCAGTAAGGAAAAGAATGAGGATATTAATGCGCCACTAAATGCACCAATCAACATCATAACGGTATTGACAAAAAATAAAGCAATCAACATTCCAACTTGAGCCCATAAAATGTGTCACATCCCAACCCGACCAGGACAGATCCTATCTTGTTGGGCTATGATAGGCCAACCCCAGGATCTAGTTTTGGAATTGTTTCAGACTTTCTTGCCAAAGATTCATTCAATTTCGAAGAACCACAGAGCTGCTACAACATCAAAAAACTAAAAATCTCATCTATCAAGTTCCTTTCATTCATCAAAAGAATCATATACACTACAGTAGATGACTACATACAGAATTACAGAACTGAAAAGTAACTAGTCATGACTGTACAAAAATCAAAATAGCAAAATATCTATGACTTCATATCAGATCCTGAACAGCTAGTCCACAACCTTTTTTCCTTTACCATATCCTGAAAATCATGAGTAAAATCACAGTGAGCTATAACAGCTCAACAAGTCACACAAGCCAATCTAAATTTCCAAACCATTCTTTTATTTCAACTATTTTACTGAAGATTTAAAAGCAGTCAATATCAGTTTAAATAATTCACTGAACTGATAAATACATAGCAAATATTTGATTCAGATGATCGTACAGAACAGAATCAATTAACAACAGATAACAGTACATAACAGAATCAGATAACAATACATAACAGAATTATAGCACAGAGTTATTCAGATCATATTTTCCCAGACACAGATAGAATCTTAAAGGATTCTGGCCCCTTATGCCTCCCTCTTCATTTGTGCTTATAACACCATATCATATCAGAATACAGAATTGTTCAGATCATATTTTTCAGATAATGAAATTTTAATCGGAATATTCGTCAAAACTTTCGCATTTGAAAATTGAGATAGGCATAATGTGCCTTACCTCGAGTCAAACAACTTTTGCAACAGTGTCGACGGATGAAAACGGACCGAAGTCGCCCAAAAATCCGGATTCCTCTTCTCTCTCTTTTTCTTTCTCTCTCCTCCTCTTTCTCTCTCTTCATTTTCTCTATAAGAGTTTTACCTATAAGATATTTAGCTTGAATGGTATTACAAGTATAGATTGATTGTCTGCTTACTTCAAAATCAATTTCCCAGTATGTGAGCTTGAAATCTTAAGATTAAGAATACTAAGACGACTGGTTTTTTTGTGCCGGGATTTAACTTGATGCAACTCATGATTCTATTCATGGTTTCCAAACTTATTATCTAAAAATCTTTCTTTTCCTATTCATACTCCTATGACAGGTTCTCAAGGATGGAACTGTTCTCCTTCGTTTGGCGCACCTCTATGAGGTAATTTTTGTGTTTTTACCCTTACCAGTGATATTTGTGGACTTTGATTTGTTCTGCTATCTCTAGAACTTAGGTTGATAAAATATTGTTTACATTTTCTGAATCCTTTGTTTCGCTGCTCTCTGAAAGGTGGGTGAGGACAAGGACCTCTCTGTAATGGCCACCGTTGATCTTAATAAGATTTTTCCTGGAAAGAAGGTATGCACTGAGCCCAGTCACCATGAAAATAGACAATCCTACTATACACTATAACTAGGGCCTGATTATGTCCTCTGCAAAATTTTATTCTTAGGTCATCAAGATTACTGAGACAAACCTCTCTGCTAATCAAGAGAGATCAGTAATGGAGAAAAAGAGGCTGAAATGGAGAGTGGAAGGGACTTCAAACACCGAGAAATTGGTGAGAGGAGGACCTATTGATCCTTCCAAGCTTCTGGTGGAGCTGGGACCAATGGAGATACGCACATTTCTCATCGATTTCGATCATATAACCACCCAACAGGTGAACTCGCACGCAGTTCAGCGATGAAAGTAACTGAGTTTTCCAAATTGCATGGATTTTGGACTATTCGAGAGACAAAAGGTATGACTACTGGAAAATTTAGGCTTCGTTTGGGACAGTTTTATTACTGTTTTTTAAAGCAATATTTTAGTACCAAAATTTTAATTTTTGTACTAAGAACTTGTTTAAAGAAGCATTAAAAAAATCGTCCCAAATGAAACTTTAGTCTTACTTAAGGAAACCAGGCTTGTATTTGAAATAAGTTTGTTCCATTGAAGCTAAAGATAGCAGCATGGAAATAAAATTCTACTGTGAAATGGCTTCAGCTTTATGTTGAGATATTATGCTTAGTTTTTTCCATAAATTCAACTGCAGGTTAAAGCTTTCACAACGGCTATTTGACTTCATCTCTAAAGCCAATCGCTGCATATGGCCTTTGGAAAACATGTACATGCATATATGGTATGTGTAGCAGGTGATGAACGGATCTCATCATTTTAGAACTTCAGTTGTCTTTACAATGAACTATGATGCATTGATATAAATAATGAGATATGATAATAAAATATCTATATGGTAGAAAAATATAAGAATATATAAATGTGTGTGCGCACACGTGTGTGCGCACACGTGTGTGCACGTGTGCTAGCTAGCTGGGTGGTAATGGTTCCTTTTCCTGCTAGAGGATTTTCATATTGGGCTTGATTCGATTATCACAAAGGTAGTTCATTGATATTTAGTTTAATGTTTTTTTTTTTATCTAACATTGAGCATCTAATTTAAAACTAGAATGCTCATGCCAGTCAAGAGCCCTATTCACAAGAAATTATTACGTGCAGTCGTCCAACCATTTGAAGGTTAATCGGGCAATCAGGATATGTCATGTCATCCGATACATGGAATTATATAATATACACAGTAAATTAATGATGTGACATATCATAATTGACCTCCAGACGATGTCTGGTGAACGTACGTAATAATTTCTCCCTATCCACAATCATCTGAAGGTGAGTGGCCAACTAGGATAGTTGAATTCATTGGAGGTTGCTTATGCAAATGGTTTTTGGTTTCATTGTAAAATGTCTAATTTGATAGGATGAGTGTGACAATGTCTTTTTTTTATCTCTTCTTAGCCTAATTGGGATAATTTTCTTATTGTTTTATGAAATATTTTTTTAGTATAATTTTTTTTAATTAAAAATTTTTTATAAGAAAGTTATCCCACACGAATCATTAGTTGGCATTGCTTCCAAAGAGATGCAATGTAATTATAATATTTGTAGATGTTAAACTTACATCATCTATCATTACAATAATATATAATAACATTTCATCTTACAATTAAATAATAGCAATAAAACTGCTTACATATAAAGCTTACACAAATTTATTATTGAAGTTAAAAGTATTGCACTATTAGCAACAATAGACGTGGCACAAAGCAAAGAGCATTTATTAACAATATATCATCCATCGGTTTGAAAATTATGCAACGTAAGTGTTTAATGTTTATGAATTATTGAACTATTTTTTTTTTTTTTAGGCTATTTATAATAAATTGAGGTAATACAGTCTCAACTACAATCCATCTAAATATCAAGCATAAACACTGCATTCTACTGATAATACAAGCAATTTAACTAGAGAGGAAAAAAAAAACAAAGGAAAAAACAAAATTTATATGAGAAACTGTACAGCAGAGCCTCTATTCATTCATTACAAATGAACCGTCAAATTTCTTCTCTAATGACTTGGTTGGAGGAAAATTAAGTGAGATCATATCATCATAACACGAATTTGGAGCAGGTTTGAACTCATAAGGTCCTCCCTTTGGTCCCCAGACCTGTTCAAACATAACAAGTTAAGAAAAGGGGATCAGGAACAAGTCTAATACAGCTGTGATCAATTCTTTCAAAACATTAAAATTCAAATTTGACATTATTATTTTTGCCCCCAACCGATCTTTTTTCAGGTAAATTGCTCCTAAAAAAATTAGAAAGCTTCTTGGCCTCCCATTATTTTCATCCAATTATGTTGAACTTTTCTAATATTAGCAAACAAGTTTATGAAAAATAATTATGGGTAAAAAAATTATTTTTGCAACCTTATATATTATATTTTTATTTTTTTTATAAGTTTGTCACTTGCCCTCTTTGAGAATTAAGGTTGGTTTCGCCCCTGTTTTGAAGGAAAGTCTACTTCTCACTGCTTCCAAAAAAAAAATTTTTTTTTTTCAATAACAAATCTCATTTCCTTTTTTGAATGACAATCAATCACTTCGTAGTATTTTTATATTTAAACATATTTTTCAACTATTCAATATAAGATTAAACCAATACTCTCATATGCCTAAACATCTTTTTATTAAAAAAAAAAAATTGGAAAGAAAAGATTCACCTGATTCCCTTCTTCATCGTAGCCTCGATCCCATGTATGCACTTCACCATTTTTGTGAATAATGAGCTCCGATGTACAATAGGATGCCCCATTCTTTCGTTAAAACAAGCAAATTTAGATGATTAGGGTTTAGGGCTTAGTTCTATTTGACCGCAATGACACATAAAAGAGGATGAAGAAAGAAATAATACCCAGGAGTTTGGAAAGCCTCCAGGACTTGTTGAACCCTCATATAAGCAACGCTTGCCACGCTCACAGCGAGAGAGATTTATTGTTGTTAGATGCTCTGCAACGTCCTGAAACATTTTGGAAATATCAGAAGGTTGAGATTTGAAGTTTTATTACAGTAAAGCTAAGAAAGTGGGAAGAAATAAGCTCATTGGGGCTAAATACTTAGGGCTTAGGGGAAACATATATTGAATATGATGGATTTATTAGATTCTATCATTTGGTGCAATAAGGGAAAGGTGGGGAAGTAGTTCTCTCCCCTATGGATCTAAGAAAAATTATATATAAATATTTTAGTATGAAACTTTCCCCTTTGAATTCTCTTAGAAATGATTTAATTTCCAAACATTGAAAAGAAAACAAAACTATCCTTGTGTATTTTCTATTGACTACAAGCAACTAAGGCTTCATTTTGGAGAGTTTTTTTAGTATTGTTTTTTCGCTGCTTTCAAGAAATTTTTTAACTACAACAACAACATCATCAAGCCTTTATCCCACTACGTGGGGTCGGCTACATGAATCATTTTTCTCCATTGTGTCCTATTAAAGGTCAAATTCTCATTTAAATCTAATAAAGAAAGGTCATTCCTAATATTTTCTAACCATGTCTTTTTAGATTTGCCTCTACCTTTCTTAACATAAGTCAAATCTAATACCTCTACTCTCTTAACCGGGTCATTGGAAGGCCGCCGTTTTATGTGACCAAACCATCTAAGGCGACTCTCTCTAATCTTATCTTCTATTGGAACTACTCCAACCTCAAGAAATTTTTTTACTAAAAAATTATTTTGGAAAGCAATAAGAAAGTTATCCCAAATGAAACCTAAGCGAGTCATAAAAATAATTGAAAATTTTTATTACTTTCTAAAACATATTTATTCCCTATCTACAAGCTATCAAAAAAGTCTATAAAGCATATTCATATTTCCTTTGCAAGTATAAAACATGTTGAGGAGAATAAATAAATCTTCAAACAAATGGCATACCTCAATAATTTCTTCATCATGTGGCCTCTGGTCCTTTGGACGGTCACAAAAATTTTTGTACTCCTCGGTATCTCTGATAGCATATGAACTCACCTGTTCACCAAATATTTCAAAAAATTAAAAAGCATAATGCTCATCTATAATCAATTACAACATACCTAGAACATGTACAACATTCTAGAAAGGTATACATGTGACTTATTTGGGCTTTGTTTGGGAAAGCTTTCTTGCAGCTTTTAAGCACAAACTTTTTTCGAATTAGAAATTTTTGCATTAAAAAGCTGCTTTAGAAAGCAGCAAGAAAGTTATCACAAAAAAAGTCTTAATCTCAATTAGAAATACAACTTAATTTAATATATGAACAACAAAATATATGACCAAAATAAATTTTTGGTGTTTAATTAAAATGCATGCCTTCATTTCAAAAAAATTTTAAAAAAAAAAATTATACATGTCAAAGTTCTCACCTCCACGTCACACTTCGCCTCCTTCGGGCAAGGCTTGACAATATAGAACCTCTGCAAGAAAAGATGATGACACCCTTATTGCACGATGATTGAAGAAGCAACAAATAAAAAAAAACCATAAAGATCACTAAGGAACATATAATATGTTTTGGTATAAAATCATGTAGCTGACCACACGTAGTGGAATAAAGACTTGATATTATTGTTGTATAAAATCATAACAAACCTATATTTATTTAATGGACTAACTTTGTGAAACCGCTTAAGTAAAAAAAAACTAAACTCTTAAACATCGAGGCGCCTTTTGATGTAATTGTTAGAATTTCATTAAAAATATTAAACTCTTAAACATCACTATTGATTTAAAATGATTTTCAACAGCATTTTGTGGATTTTTTTTTTCACTAAATATTTTCCACGGCTTGAGATAAGTCGATAATTTTTTAATGTAATAGAATATGGTTAACTAACATGCAAACTAATCAGTTATGATAGATTGATCAAATGATTCTTGCTATCGCAATCCCATGTATTTTTATTGGAGTTAATGAAGCCTAAAAAAGTCATCCAATATAAGAAAGGAGAACATAAAATAACCACAAAATAATTAAAAATGTTGAAATAGCAAGAATCATAAAAATGGCAGCCTAGTAATAATGGAGATACACAAGGTTGAAGAGCACATACTTGTCGGAAAGGCTTCTGTGGTGTTCTCCAAAATGCCTGCGAATGAGGGAAAGAATAACCACAACCATGTATTATGTACAATGATCATTAATAAAATACAAGAAACTTATAGATTAAAATTTTAAATTATCCATACTTGCTCAAAATATAGAACTCTTGAGCCATCTACCATCTCTGTCGCAGGACATGTAAGCATTCTAGGAGAAACAAACGTATTATTAAATAAAGAATGGAACCATGGCCCTAAATAGGTTCAAAAATCAATTATAAACAACAAAGTTGAAAAAAAAAAAGGAAATTTCTGATATGTTACTGTATTCAGATAACATCCATTAAGCTTACCATAATAGATACAAGATTCAAAGTCACAACACTAATGGAAATCATTTTCATAGGATGAAACATTGTTTTTACATATGATGCAGGATGTGGCAATAAAAATTCCCAACATTTGTGAAAACAATTAATAGATTTCATATGAACCGAGATCAACAAGCATGTCATCTCTAAAGAGGTTCATGTGTTTGTTCATTAGAAGAATTTGTAAAAGAAAACTGTTAACACCAAAACATCGGGAAAGGAAACTTTACCATAAGAGGAACCTATCCTTGAACTAAATAGCTAGAGGCTTAGTATTCTCCATCTAAGCTATGATGAGAACAAGCAACTCAATAAACATTAATAACACTATTTGCGTATCATTAATTTTGCCAATTAGGTCATTGGAGTCCTAGAGAACCTACAAATGAAAGGAATCTTATTCTAAAAGGAGACCCTCCTAGAAGAATTTATAAAGCATTTAAACCATAATTAAAAGAGAGAGAAAAAAACATAGTCAAGTATAGGTATACACGTGTACAAGTTTATACACACACAAAGAACTCCCTTGCAAGAGAAAGAAGCAAAGAAAAAAACTTTACCCCCTAAAAAGAAATATATAACTTGCCTTCTCGCTCTCTCACTATCATAGTATCTCCCTCTATCTCTCTCTCATCTAACTCATGTGTCTTTAATTTTTTTCTACTCATATTTGTAGAGCATGTCATTCTAATCCCTAATTCCTATCCATTAAGATTTGGGTCCTTGTCCAGACACAAAAAAATATTGGATGTCACCGCAGATAATGTCGGAGGATCAAAAACTTAAGTCAATTCATAGCTCTGAGGCCATCATAAGATGACCAAGTATAGCCTCAAAGCTCAAAAAAGCATGTTGCAGCCTCAACGTTCGAATATAGTCTCCATTCCTCAAGAGCTCTCTAGCCGATTCATAATCTTCAAACCACTACCAAGAGGCAACTAGGCAAGTGTAACTCCAAGCATCAATATCTCAATGCAGCCACATAACAGTATAACACCAAAGCATAATCAAAAGAGCTAGAAAGCTTAAGTTGGAATAGCAAAGCCTTTAGGCTAAGAAAAGCTCAGAAATAACTTTTATTCTTAAATCGAACAAAAAGGCTAGACTAGTGCAAATTTAAAAAATAATTATATTCATTAAAAATATAACATTAACCTTTTTTCAGTTAACTAATTCAAATCACCAAGAAAATGAATCCAATAGACAAGCACATAAGAAATCAAAAGGTTCAAGCATCCTGAATTAAACTCATGGCTTCAATTTCATTATTTCTCTCTTCTTATCAAAACTCATCATAGAAAACACTAGAAAGGCACACGGTCAAACAATCCACCTCCCAATTTTCATTAAAAAGACCTTCCAAAATCTAAAAGGTCAAAAGTCCCAAAGCTTCAACTCTAGCCAAATTAATGGTCACTGTGAGCCTTGAACAAAACTCCACTTTGAAGCACCAACTAATGGGAAGGATGACACGTACATTGTCGGCTGGAAAGAACTCTTGTTGAAGGTGCAATCCTCCAAGAGCTCACTTCTACCAATTGAATCAAGATAAAGAACTCACCCTCTACAATATTAATCTTTGTAGAAGGAAATGATTCCAGTGAGTGGCGACAAAAGCATCATAAGAATGCACAAAATAAAAGTAGCATAAGACAAAGTTGAAGGAAATTGGAGGGACAACACAAAGCAAAAAAGAAAATAGCATCTCCAACCAAAAATATTATGACTTCAGAGCTGGAAGGTTCCACATAATTTAAGAAAAAAAAAAATGAGGAAAGAAATGAAATATGTTAATAAGCAGGAAAAAAATGGATAATATCATAAATGAAAACAACCGGCTATAATAACGACAAAGAATTTTTTCTAGGGAAGAGATAGATGAGAATTTAGTGATTCAATCTCCTTGATTTTCAAGCCTCTGACTCCAAATTCCTAAACACTAGAAGAAATGAAAGAATCTCCTCTTAATGACATAAAAATAAAATTTAACTATCTTATCTTCAAATCTAATATAAATACTCCCCAACATATCCTCTCTAATTTTGCAACACATTCATCTCATTTTTTTCATTTTTTTTGTTCATGCTTAAGTTGGTCATGCATGATTGATTTATCATATAATAATGTGAAATCCAAGTATAGTTTTTCTCATCACATTTCAAACTCATATTTGATACCTACCATGAACCCTCTTGTAGCCCACCTTATTAGACAGCTTATTTAAGTCTCTAATAAATTATTCTTTCTTGCTAAAGTATAAATTGGAATGGTTTATCTCTCCCTTCAAAAAATTAGTTTTTCAAACTACCTTCTAAACCAACATGAGCAGCATAAGAATCAATCACATTTATGATGTCCTCAGTATTAATTAACATAAAAACAATCACCATATAACTTATCCTATACACCCCAATAATTTATTCTTTCAACTCTCTAACTATCATGATCATACAAATTCCAATTGTTATCCAGTCCAGCATACAACTTATAACATTCCCATTACCTCTGAATTTTCTCCCTCACAATCAATTTCTTACAAGCAAACAATACTTATTCTTTGCCGTAGAACCAACAAAACCACATCAACGAAGCAACAATTCCATCTCACTAAACAGCCTTTAAAAGATCAAGTGCACTGTACTTGCCCTAAACCCTAAAAATATGGAATGTACAGGTACATAGAAAATAGAGTGCAAGTAAGAAACGCACCTCAGATTAAAATAGTTGTCAGGGTCCCTGCAAGCCTGCTCCCGGGAGAACTTCAGGGCCAATCAAAAGAGAAAAAATATGAACACAATCAAAATCAAATCAATTATCTAACTTGGAATCTAGAATCAAAACTTTGTATTTACTTTCTCGCCAGAAATCTCTCGAGCAACCGCTCGGGCGTGGTCCCATCTAGTCGTGGACCTTCTCAGCCTCCTCAAGAGTAGCACTCCGCCGAAAAGCACGAGCGCCTTGAGCACGAGACCTCGGGCTCGGCCCCCGCCTCTGCCGGTATCCGAGTCAGTCCCCATCCAGCCACGAGAAACCTAACAATGTTGAAGTTAATGCAAAACCATCGCAAATCATTTCAAAAAACAACATGGAATTTGTACCATATGGCCAAGAAAAAGGATTGAATCGCAAAAAGAATAGAAGAAAATAAGACAAATTTTTTCTTTGCAACTCAACAACTGAACAAAGCAAACCTCAGAACTGTGCCCTGAACGAGAAAGATCGGAACTGGAACGAGAGGAGTTTGAATGTTTGATCCCTTCTTCTCAGCTGAGCTTGCGGCCTTCGTCGAGCGAGTCTAAAGACGTGTAAGCTCTCTCTTGGTATTCAAGTAGGATTTAAGGAGCAATTATTACATCCAGTCATCGAATGTGTAGACCGATAATCACACTTTACGTTATCTAAAACTCGATATTAAATATTTTGTATTGCTCGATATACATTCGGATTCGTTCGAATTTGACCGGACATAATAATTGCTCGGATTTAAGAGACTCTTTGGAGAGAAATTATTACCTCCCTGTTTATATATTGTATGCCATTTATATAAAGTTTGTATATAATTTATACTCAATTTGTATATAAGATATTTTTGGGAAAATTTTTTGAAAAAAAAATTTGTATATAAGTTTTTTTTAGTGACGAGGAACCATTCACTGCCACACTCGACTTCGTTGAGTGTGCTTGGCGGTCCGTAAATCCCGACCGACCTAATGGGCCACCCAGGCCACAAACACATAGCCGGCGCTTTGGAGCCCCCACTTAAGGGCCGCCTGCCAATCGAGAGAATCGAACTCGGGATGGGAGGTTCCCAACCGGCACGCCCACCAACCGAGCTAAGCATCCGTGGATAAATTGTATATAAGTTGATGTTGTCTATTTTGATTGGAGTCTAGTACATCCGAATTTTGCACGTAATAATTTCTCTCTTTGGGACACCTTTAAAGGTGAATATAAGGCTTGGTTTGAGATTGTTGTTTTATTATTTTTTAAGTAATTTTTTAATACAAAAATTTATAATTCAAAAAAAAAATGTAGTGAAAAACTGTTTTAGAAAAAAATAAATAAGTTATCTCAAATGAGAAAAATTATTATGAGTCACCGGATGGTCCGAAGGCTAATTAAAATGTTTCATGTCACTCAGTACATAGCACCGCTACATAGCAAAAAAGTGATGTGACGCATCCTGATTCACCTCCATATGACGTCCGGTGATTGCACATAATAATTTATACCCAAATGAAACCTAAAACTCCTATAAACTCATATCGAGAATATTCCTTTTTTTCATGTTACTCTAATAAGTAACTTTTGGCACAAAATTTTATTTAAAGCATTGAAAGCTCAAATGAAAATTATGATTGCGATCTGAAAAATAAAATAGTAAGAAATTATGTAAATATTAAAATTTTAAATTATTTGAAAAATATATTAACCTTTGATCATTTCTATAAATATGTTTGGTAATGCATCCAAAAGCTTAAAGCTTTCAATCACTTTTTAAGTGCTTGGTTTATGCTCATCTACACTCAATTAAAACAATTCTAACATCTTTAAGTTCGTCTTATCAAAATATTTAGTTTCAATTTGATTATAATTTTGTCAAACATATAATTTATATGAACTTGAATTTAATCATGAAATATTCTAATTCCACTATTGCTTCTAGATTCAATCCTTATAAATCAAATTAAAAATTTTAATTAGTTTTTCCTCAAAAATAACAAAATAAATAAATTATTATATGATAACAATAATAATAATTTGTGAAAATATTCTAATATAAATAATATGATATCAAAATTTTGTAAATCAACATAAGGTTAATAGAGATAAAAGAACATTAAATGCAAGCCTAGGAATATAGTTCCTTATTGCAAATAAAATAATTATTTTTTATGGCATATTACACACAAAGATAGGCATACAATGGCCATCATAGGCCAAATTATTTCAAATTACTAAAAATAGAAACATAAGAACAGGCAATGAAAGGAATATAACTTAGGCATCTCCAGCTTGCTTTGCTAGGAAGTGGAGTTTACACTGCTCAGCTGTGTCATCAGGGCTGGTTACTGTAGACAAAGTGTATGAAATCAATATTAACAATATATTTTGTCAGAAGGAAAAAAATTCCTGGATAATCTGATCTACAAAATATTCAAGAAAGAAACAAATTGTTAATATCAAAACTAATGAGTATATATAAATTTCTTAAAATCTTTGAGGTCTCCCTAATTTCAAGTCAATGTTCATTTCATATGGAGAATGGTTGTCTGATATAAATTTTACAAATAACATAGCCAAAATCCTAAAACACTTCGTCGGATAGCATGTTTTGATTCATTTGATCTTACACAGTTCTTTTATCATTTCGATAGCTTAACAACTTCGAAATTGAGTGATTTTGGGCTTGGTAGATACCCTTGTTGAGATGCTCGTTCGGAATATAAGTATGTATAAATCAGATATCATTTGATCATTCAATTAATATTTTGACGTTTTCATCTACATTTTAAGTGTTTGATTTGAACTCATTTGTACTCGTATATGATCAATTTTGTTGTCGTTAGGTTCATCTCGTAGGCGTTCAGTTGGACTATAAATTTGCTAAAATCAGAGTTCGAATGGTCCTGAATTTAATTCAATAAATTTTCAATTCAAAAACAACATCAAGATTTATGACTTATCAAGTGAATTTTCAAAACATTATGAAACCTGGTCATTTGATAAATGGTATTCATATATGCTTAATCATAATAGCTTAATGAATGCCTTATAAAGTGATTTTTTGAAAGATTATGAAACATGGTCATTTGATCAATGGTATTCATATATGCTTAATCGTACCTTCATGAAAATTACACAAATAAAGAAGTTTTCAAAAACCTAAGAGGAGCCAAGTGGGTTTCTAATTGTTGATTTTATTAAACAGCCATTAAAACCTTGGAATTTTCATTCTAATCATCATCACTAGCCTTACACCAAAACTAGGGGTCAACCTTAACAATCTAGAGTTGTCTGAGACAGAGAGAAGGGTGTGGGGGGGGTTTGGTTCAAATAAGTCATTAGTGAGAGTAATAAGCAGCTCCTACCCACAAAAACTGCTAAACTATTTGAAGGTCTTCAGAATCATGCTAAGCTAATGACATTTTGATGGAGACTTCTCTTAAAATGATTTATAGCTAAAAGTTGAGGTCCATGTCTCATACCTATCTTATTGACTCCCAGCAAAAGATGGTTCAGGAAGAATATGCAACGATTGTAGATCAAGAAGAAATTTTAATACTTTCTACTGAAAGATGTTTTACTCTGGGTAAAGGAACAATTTTCCGAGCAACAATGGCAGAATGGAAAGACACACGATTGCCTCCCATGAAAACAAGCCGTTTGCACCACAGAAAATCTACCATACTTTCTTGAATAATCCAAGAAAAGAAGACAATCCCCTGCTTGTTAATAGGATAATGTTTCTCCCCTGTGGAACCATCGATAATTGAAAAACCTATATAATAAATTCAACAAGTTAATATATTAAAGAAGGAGCCTATACCTGTATGGCCCACTGTCCTTTCAGACTCGTAGATCTCATAATCATTTCCGCCCTGCAAAAGGGAGGAAACCTTTTAGCCTATCAACAACTTAAATTACTCGTAATATCTGATGATAAACTAGATTTCATGTCATTGAGCGGCCATGAGAACAAATGTAAATAATTGTAAGAACAGCTACAAAATTACAAATTACAACACTCTTAAATCTGCTTCTCGAGGAGAGATTATTCTGTGCAGACGACGAACGCAGTTCACAATCCGGAAACCAACCAGAATGCGCCACATCAGCGGTACCAAGTACCGAGCAAGAGGTGACGTAGCGCATTCTGATTGGTCTCCGGACGGCATTCGGCGTCCGCACAGAATAATTTCACGCTTCTCGAGACATGGCATGGAAGAAAGAGAATTTTAAATTTGTAATACATAAACTCACATTCTAAAGCTCAAGGGCATTTTATGTGGAGAAAGAAATTTAATCCACTTAATGTGTTGCCAAGTTAACATAATTAAAGGTGAAACTCATGATTAATTGCGGTATGGTTTGACATTGTCTTCGTATTTATGATATCTACCGGGAATAAAGTTTCACAATTAAAATGGAAATGGAAGTAGAGAAGTATCGAAAGAAGTATGAAAGGGTTTTCATTTTAAGATAGCATAAAAGATAATGATGAACAATCAGCACCCAACCACTCGTGTAAAGCTGGAAACACTTGATTGTTGGTAGCCCACTCCTGAAGAATTAAACTATGAAGTTCTGAAAAAAATAAAAAGTCGACAATAACCACAATAGTACATAAAAGAAAATGGCTACATTTGAATGATCACCGCAAAGGTCTTACATAGTTATTGAGAAAAGAAGTAATAAATGCCATATTGCTCTTATCTGACTACACGAATCGTATGTCAACGGCTAGAAATCCATGAGATTGAAGCTTTCAGGTTCTCTAAGAATATCAAGCAAACTGAAAAATTACATTGGTGAATGATGTTACCTTGTATGTCTTGTCACCAAAAAAGTGGATTTCAGGGAAATCTTCAAGGTACCGTAAACAGTAGGTCTTATCCCAGCCTTGGGGGAATACCTGTAAGATAAATAAAGTTTAAGGAGGTCGTTCAATGACTTTGTTCCAAATCAGGAGGTACAATAAACCTACATCAAAACTTATCTGTCCCCCAATAGAAAAAGTGAGATTCAAATGTTTAAACTTTTCGCGAAGTACGGAGACCATTTTTGACCGGATGTTGTGAACCTGCAGGTATTTATATTAAAGAATCAAACCATCACAAAAATCTTATTGTCAAGTAAAATAGCCGAAATCTCAAGAGTTGCATACTTTATCATACTTCTCAAACTCATCACGTTCCTCTTGGCTACAATTGCGTCCTATTGGAGAAACATTCAGCATTCCACTTCTGAACTCTATGAATGTTCCCCTATAACTCAAAAATAAGGTATCTGATAAAGATCGGTCAAGATGATATTATTTGAAGGGTGAGGTTTTCACCAACCTTTTGATTGGGATATCCAGGTCAGCAATATAATGGAGCGTGAAATTAATCAATTCCTGCATTGATTGGGAAGAACTTCAATATAGGGCATTTCAGGCTAATTTTGTGCCATTACAATTACCATCTAATCTTTACTAAATGGCGAAAGTGGGAAAGAATGTATGAGACCTTGAGTTTTTCTTCACCGAGAAAAGATTTGAAGTTCTGCATGAAAAAATATATATGACCTCATATAAATAAAAGCAAAACATTTGAAGCATAAAAGAAATACTTGCACAGTAAGAAAAGTGATATACAACAAAAAGTATTCTTTCAAGCCAAATGCAGCAACAGAAAGTGAGGGATAAAACAGTTTTCGCTGCCACTGATTTTTTTTCCTCTAATAACAAGAACAACAACAACAACAACAACATAACCGGGTCATCGGAAGGCCGCCGTTTTATGTGACCAAACCATCTAAGGCGACCCTCTCTAATCTTATCTTCTACTGGAGCTACTCCAACCTTTTCACGTATATGCTCATTTCGTATCCTATCTCTAAGGGTAAAGCCACTCATCCACCTGAGCATTTTCATCTCTGTCAAACTTAACTTAGTATTATGCTTCTCTTCTAAAGGCCAACATTCAGCACCATAAAGCATTACAGGCCTCACTACCATCTTATAGAATTTTCCCTTAAGTTTGAGGGG